GAATGTATGGATAAAAGCAAGAAAAAAATATATTAAATGCTATTACATGTTTAAAATAAAGCCACCAACTTCATGTTAGTTGTATTATATAATTTTAATTCTAATGCAGCACTTTATGTCTTTTGATGTCCATCAGGAAGATGAATTAAAACTTTAATTAATGAAGAAAAAAAAAGCAGTGCCAAGGTTGAGATACCTTGCTTAATCGAAAGAAAAAGCAGGAAGTTTCCCTTGGAGTAGATTAGCAGGAAGCAGACACTCAATGTGACCCTAATGCTCATATCCATTTCTTTCCAGATTTCATACAGCAGAGTGACCACATCAATACTTGACCTAAAATGCAATATGCATTTTGCTATGTGTGTCTCAGCCTGACTTCTGATCAATTTCCACGTGTTTCTGTAACACAGTTAAATCTAACTCCACTTAATCACCCCTCTTCAACATGGTCACAGTGAAGCAGTTAAGCACTAACACCTACAATGCACTTCTAGGCGATACTTGTACACAGAATGTACATCTTAAAATAATGACATTCTGGCCAGTGATTTCCTGATCACAACCCACTGAAGGAAAGGAGTAACTTCTCTGAGCAGCCGTTCTAACTAACCACTGACTTCAAGAAACGGTATTGTAATATCAAATTGCAGATTACTATCTTTAAGGGAAATCATCTCTTTAAAATTGTCCATTCTCTGGTTTTAATGAGAAAATTGGCAATTTGGGAGTTGATGCCGAAAGAACTAACTCATTGTTTCTGAGAGTCTCCATTCTGGGTTATGATGTTTGCAGGATTTATGGTATGTTGAACTCAATTCCTTATCCCAAGTCGGAGATTTAGGGAAACTGGGGCACACTTACAAGCAGCAGAACACAGGGTTCGCATGTGGGGTTGCTCGAGGGGCCCTGGAAACCATTCCCAGTCACGCCCACCCCTCAGAGCTTCCCTGTTGCCTGGTTGGCTGCTTCAAGACAGCCTCAGGGGAGGGGAGAGCTGCCAGGCTCCGCCCCGGTTCGGGCAGGGGGCTGTGTGCAGCATCGCTTCTACCTGGCGGCTTAAAGAAAATTTAAGGCATTCCGCATGTTTTTAACGGCAATTTGAGTAAAGCTGGACAAAATGTGCCCCCACTGCCAGTAAGCAAGACCACTGATTAACAACGGAAACTGATCTTGTCCCCAGATTCTGCCCCAGGTAAGGGCACCTGCTTCCGCCTTTGTTCTCACCTCCCCTGGGGAGGTCAGAGGTTTCGGGCAAAGTGGACAGAGCCCTGCACTGGGAGGCAGCACCTCTTGGTCTTCCCATCACTGCCAAGGCCTTGGATTCCTTTGCTGCTGCTCACAGTTCCCTTGTGGTCCAACGAGCCTCTGTCCGTGGACCCTGAGCCTCCCCAGCCTGCATGCCCAGTGAATCCATGAAGCAGCAGGGGCACACAGGTCTGCAACCTGGCCTGTCCTTCCCTTCTTTCTCAGGGGCCCCGGGGAGGGAGGGCTGCCTGCTGAGGTTCTCTGTGGGGCTCTGGCTCCCTTTGTAAAAGGCATACTTTCAGCTGGTCCTGAGGATAAGTAGCACCTGACGAATCAGAGGTGGTGGACAGTGGGGATGGAGCTGTGCTGGGAGAAGGGACTGGAAGGAGCAAATGCAAGTGGTTCAGGCAGGTGTAGCCCTCGGCATGCGGTGGGGAGGGATCAGTGAGGGGGCTGCAAATGGAGCTTAAAGTCGGATAGTAGAAAGCACTGACCACCCCAGAAAGAATGACTGTGCAGTCTTGTTGGGTAACAGGGTGAGAACTGGGATGAACTAGAAAAGAGAGGATATGAGGTACCAGATCTGTGAGAAGTGAAGCCGCGGGGAAACAGTTCTTGCAAAGGAGGTTTATAACCCCTACTTAAAGCTGAGGAACTGGTGGCTCAGAGAAGTTGAGTAACCTGCTTTTGGTTTTCAAGAAATACTTCTGAGTGGCTTCACTTCTCAGAGGTCTGATGCCTCCGTGTCCTCCATTCTTGTCCACTCCAGCTTTCCGCCTGTTGCCCAACAAAAATGTTGAAAGAATTAAATAAGATTGTGTATGCAAAATACTCAGCAGGGAGCCTGCTCTCATGGACAATAAGTGCTGTGATGATATTCCAAAGGCATCGTGGGCCTTCGTTCAACCCATTTAGTTCAGTACTTAATAACCAAATAGGATATCCAGCCAAATCTGACTCCGGGTCCTCTAAATTCTCACTGATTTTGTAGTCATTTGACAGCAAGGTTGTCTCTCTATTAGTGGGGAGACTATTCCAAGACTTAGTGTCTCTTAGTCCTTGGCTGCCAGCACAGCACACGTAGGCAGAAAATTACAAAATTACAATTCAAATCAAGGGTTTTTTTTTTTAACCAAAATGCCTTGTATTTTAAAAGGCGGGATGTTTCTCAGGGTTTGCTATTGGCCGCTCCACCCTGATTTTAAAACCTAAGGAGGAAATGATCTGTGACTCTGTGATTACCCATCTCATTGGGTCCCTGGTAGGACTCCAGTGTCAGTCATCTGCCAGCTGCTAACATCTGGCACCTGACCTCACCCTTCCAGGATGCAGTTTCCTCATCTGCGATAATCCCTTTCTGGTCTTACAAAATGTACTTCTGTACCTTTTACAAGAACATGTTGGTCTAAAGTTCTTAGAGACACAAACTGTCAGGCCCAGAAAAAGAATCTTCATTAGCATTTGGCTTGGATTTCTCGACTGTCCTCTGGGGCTCAGATTTGTTTGAGGATCTGATGAAAACTGGATGCTGAACCCAGAAAAATGTACCAACAGGCACAATTCCACATACCATGTCTTCTGAAGCTCCTCTGAGGATTCTAGGCTTAGAACCTGGGTTCTAGGTCAGAAATTGAGATGCAGACAGAGGGTGACTTCTCAAGATCACCCAGTTAAGCCTGTGAAGACAATTTCAGCTGTCATTCAACATTTTGCAGTGATCACCGCTTACACAGGCACACATGCCAAGTTACCAAGTCAAAACATTTTGTGCATCCATTTTCTTGCAACAGCTTCACAAATTGGGTCAGATTGATATTATTATCATTATCTGGAATATGTGGAGATGGTAGAGACGGTACAACTTCCTTAAAATCCAACAGTTAAGTGGAAGCACAGTTTGCACTTTCAACCTGGCCATCCTGAGTCACACCCCTTTCTCTGGCTGCACCACAGTTCTGGAAGTAATGTAGGATACCGGTGGGCAGAATGAAATGTGTGCGGAAGAAGCTTGACAAAGAATCACAGGAACCATGTGGTTGGCTAACAGGGAGGATCTAAGAAGTCTTCATGGGCCTTGAATAGGGGGGTAGAGAAGACAAGGAAGGGGTTTTCTGCCTGAGGGGATAGTGTGGACCTTGGCATAATATTATTGCTGAGATAATAAAAGAACAGGGAGACACAGCTGCATCATGGGGTTTGTACAGGCGGGCGGCTTCCCCAGTCAGGGAGGCAGGTGAAATAAACAAACAGAATCATTATATTTCTATCATCCTAAAGATCTCTACTGTCAACAATAACAAATCTGTAATTTGTATGTAACATAATATATAATAAGTTGTATACAGAAATACCCTTATGTTTTTATGTTATATACAAATGGCATATTTATTAAGTGTATTTATTTATTATTATGACTTTTAATATTATAGTAACAATATTACATTTATAGAAACAAGATCTTGCTATATACACTATATATTCTGTTTTGGAAATGTTTTGTTCGTCCTGGTAATTATTTCCCTTTTTTCAGGTCAATAAACTTTCAGTAAATTTAACATCCAGACCATGTTCAAATTTTCTAATTTTCCAAAATGTGTCATTTAAAGATGGCTGGGGCAAACTAGTTTCTTATCCAGGATCTTAAATGCACTTTGGATAGTTATTTCAAGGTGGCTAACGCTTGCTTTAACTTTCTCAGCAAAAAATCAACAAGAGATCACAGCTTATCTCCTTTTGGGAAAATCCTTTTTCCCAGTAAATACTGATACAACAAGGAAGCAGTTTATCATAAGGAAAATGAGCTATCTGTTTATTGGGTCATTCCGATTAAACCACCTACTGGCCAAGATAGCATCACAATGATCCTGGTAACATGTAAGGATGCTTCAAACCTTGGCATCTATAGCTATGTGCTTGTGGTACTTCTGGAGTTCAGTTTGCCACAAAAGAGATCAGCACCTGAGTTCTGAGCAGCTGGGGGGAAAAAAAGTTTAAAAGATTTAAGTGTATTAAATTTTACATTGGTTGGCCTTTTAAATGTACCAAAACAATTTATTCAATGCCTCTAGAAGGAAGGGTGGATTTTACCACCCAGAGAATAGCCAGCTCTCTGGACACAGGACTCTTTCCCACCTCAGGCTTGCTGCCTTTTAGGTGGGTGGGAAGGACCACCTCATTCCATTCTAAAGGCTCTGGAATCCTGTTGTTGGTTTCCAAAAGCACCAATGCAAATTCATTTATTTATCTGTTCATCAATTCATTCACTCATTCGCTTATTTAACAAATGTTTACTGGACATGGATAACAAGTCACTTGCTGGGGACACATTAGTGAATAAGGAACTCACCTTCGAACAACTTAAGATGCACCTAATGGCAGCTGGATGACACTGTGGATCTCAGGGCAATAGGGATCCTTTTGCATCCTCTCTCCATTTTTAAAATCCCTATTCTCTGTTCCAGGGAAGAAGGAGGGAGTGAGGAACAAAGAGAGACCGAGAGGAGCCCCAGCAAAACCCCACTGGCTGTGGTGGAGGCCCTGCTTTCCTAGCTTCTGCCTGCAACTTCCCCCAAACCGTCTAACCCATCTCTCCCCAAATTCCTGACCCTTGAAAACTGTGAGATATAATTGTTGCTATTTCATGCTGCTAGGTTTTGTGATGATTTGTTAAACACGAATAGATAACCAGAACAGATTTTTACTTCTCAATCGATATCTTTCTTTTCTCTCTCTCTCTCTTCTTTTTTTTTTCTCTCTGCCCAGAGGAATGAATTCAGAAAGGAGGGGGTTTAGGGTCTTATTAAAATTTCCATCTCTTTCTAGATCCCTTGCCCACTAAAGGGAAGGGGTAAGGTAGCCTTGTTTAAAAGAATTCAAATAGTGGGCTTTTCCTCCAACAAGAGATAAAAAAAACATACAGAAAAGTCTGCTTACTTTAAATATAATGTCGCTGAATTATGGTTTATCATAGTGCTGCAGGACCCTGTGAAACCGAAGTCACGTGTGCCTGACCTGGGAGCAGTGGGCGGGGCTCTTCCTCAGGCTTTGTCCCAGGGTCCCAGCGAGGTTCTGATGGTGTGTGTGCACCGCATTCCTCCTCGGACCCCTTCCCAGTTTGACGAGCTCTGAGGAGGCAGCACATAAAGCAGCACAGGAAATGCAAGACATCTGTACCGGAGCCTGGGAACACACTTTCCCCAGTCCCCTTGCTGGTGTGGTCCTGGCATGGAGCGGGGCCTCTGGAGAAATGAATTAAAGAAACAAGTCCAGTGGAGAACATGGGATTCCACTTCCATTCATCTTCCTTATTTTGCAAACACCACATTCTGCAAATCCCATGCCAGTAAAGCTCTTGGATCAGCCCTCAAATTCTTCTGGATCCTTAAGGGAGGAGATGTCAGGGCTGGCCAAGAATCTAAGTGGAAACTGATGACAGAAGCTGACATTAATCAGCTACACAGTATGTTCTTCCCAGCAGGTTTCTTCCAATAAATCAAAGGCCAGCAAATCCAAGGGGTGTTTAGCCATGAGAGAGCAACTGTTTGCTGTTCTCTTTCCTTGCTAAAGATGATGAATTTAATGTTTAATTGAATCCAACACTGGTGGCCGTGGGAGTGTTTGCTGTAGGTGTTGGGTGCACTTACCACATACAGTCACATTTCCTCACGGGCCGGGGGCTTTAGGCAAGCATCCCCGACTCCACATGGTTCATCGTTTATGTTGAAGTTTCCTGGCCAAATGGAGCCACCACCCTATCTAGTGATCTGAAACAGACTCAGTCTTTCAAGTTGGAATCCTCAGGCTGTTTTGGTGACCAAATACTTCTTTTCCTTCCTGTAAGACCTAATTAAGATACTTAAAGATATTAATGTAATAATGTCTGTTTAAAATCCAGCGAGGACCAAGCTCTTTCAACATCACTGTGTGCGGGGGTGGGATGCAGGGAATAGAGAACAGGAGAGCCTTCAGTCTGAGGCCACGCGCCACCCACCCTAGCTGTTCCACCTTAACTACATCTTAACCTCTCTGAGCTGCTTTTTGCTATCTTTAAAATGAGGATTAAATCCAACATCACTGATTCTCAGTAATGAAAAAAATGTGTGTGATTAAAGATTAATGAAAAAAATATGTGTGAAGGCAGTTCTTATGCTACAAAAGCGCTATGAACATGAAAAAATAGGATTATTGTGATTTGGACCATTAATAATATTTACTAAGGAACATGGAAAAAAAATGGAATGGCTCTTACAGCAGGAGGTTCTGGAAGAAGCGCATGAGAAAAGGAAATGCCAAGGTCTTAGTAATAGAGCCAATACAAAACTCTCTTCTAGGACAGATATCTTGATGGGATAAGATACTTATCTCCAAGTCGAGACTCATGGCAAGTCTATACTAGGCCAATAAATGGGAAATTTATGGAAAGAACTCGGTTGCTTATATCCAACCAACAATTCAGATAATTAAGGCAAGTGTTTCTTAGGCATGAATGATAATTAAATTGAAAAGTTACTATGACTGCGTAGTTTTGGCAGGTAGAAGCTATGTTAATATGTTTCTGACGTTCTTCAACTTCTAACCCATAAATGTCTAGGCTTTGGTAAGAAAAAGGAACATGAAATCTGATTTTCTGTATTTCCTTAATGATTGCCAAAATAATTAATACAGTCAAAATTACTTATATTTCTATTTCTCAGAACATTATCACAGTTTTCTCACTTTAGAGTCTTAACGATTGTCCAGAAATAAGCTGGACAATTATCATATTTGTCTTCAGATACAGAAGCTGAAGTTCAGCTAGGAACAGTGATTTGCCTGAGATCCTATAGACACTTGGTGGTAGAGTCCACACTGGGCCTGGCTTTCCTGGCTCCTCCTCAAATATATCTGTGCATTATGTTTAAAATGGTCACCCTACGTGCACTTAAAAAGAAGGAAATTAAATTGCTGAGACAATTTCATGACATGCATCAAGACTGCTAAGAATTTCACCCTACATATCTCACAAAAGTGTGTCTAAGTACCCAGGATGTAGACCGGTACCTACATCTAGAAATATGTTTATAAAACTGGCTGTTTGCATAAGATTCTTGCTCCATTCACTTTCTTATCTCAAGACACAAGGTAATAGAAATGCGAACACACAAAGATTTCGGGGTTGAATAGATCTGGAACAAATTCTTGTTGGATCACTTACTAGCTATATGGCCTTAGACAGTCTTCTCTCTGGGTCGTGATTTCTTCCCATACAAAATGGGGCTAATAGCTACCAAATAAGGTTGCTGTAAGGACGAAACAAGCTAATGCACGCTTGCCTCTGTCTAATCATTTGGGTCTCCACTCTAAGTTTCCCTCCTCAAGAGAGATCTTTCCAGACTCCAGTTGCTAAATAGCTCTTCCCTCAGCATCCATTGCTGCTAATGCCATCATCCTATCTTCTTTTCTTGGAGCACTTTTCATTATCTGAATTTATCTAATTTATTGATCTAATCACGGGTTTATAGTTTGTCTTTCTTTCTAAAGCTGCAGGTGACAAGAAATTAGAAACTTGACTCTCTACTGCTTCTCAAGGACACCATGATATAATTAAACACTCATTTGGGGAACACTGTTAGAATTGTTTCATGTGTTAATAGCACCCTCTTATCCTATGCAATGCATGATCTTTTTGGTTATAGTGCTTTGCAGTGAACACTTAATAAATCTTTTTATGCACGAAGTAAGTATATACCAATAAGATTAGGCATAGATTTTTTTGCTGGGGCTTATGATAAGGCCTAGAAATGCAGAGATGCCTAAAAGGCAGTCTCCACTCCCCACAGGCTCATATTCTGTCACTGAAATGGTTTATTGTTCTACCCTGGTTCTAAGATTCAAATACAGCAAAATAGTGTCATATAACTTTCTATCCATAAAATCCATTTGAAAAATATTTGACTGTTTTTTTATCATTTCTCTTCATCATGATCATGATCATCAAAACTAACACATAAATATCGCATGATATCACTTACATGTGGAATCTGAAGAATGGGCACAAATAAACTTCTCTACAAAACAGAAACAGACTCACAGACATGGAAAACAAACTCATGATTACCAAAGGGGAAAAGAGGGGGGGAGGGATAAATTGGGAGTTTTGAACCGGCAGATACTAATTGTTATATACAGAATAGATAAACAACAAGGTCCTACTGTGTAGCACAGGGAACTGTATTCAATAGCTTGTAATAACCCATAATGAAAAAGAACATGAAAAGAAATATATATATATATATATATATATATATATATATATATATCTGAATCACTATGATGTACACCAGAAACTAACATGACATTGTAAATCAACTATACGTCAATTTAAAAAAGCAAAACAAAATAAAACAAAAAACGAACGCATGATTTCCTGCTAACTCCTACTTTTGCAAAGTTCTGTGCTGATCACTGTGAGGGTACAGAAGTGACTAAAATATGGTCCTATATTTACCATACTCTACATGTAAATATTCTCAATTTTCAGAAAGATGGTAAATGTGTAACTCTGTGCCACCTGAAAGCCACAGGATAGTGTGGAGATGTTGGCTCGATCTAAATGTGCCAGATAACACAGGTGGCAGAACCTGTTCTGTCCACAGGCCACCCTTAGCTAACGACCTAGTATAGGAAGGTCAATGTTTACCTCTCATCACAAGTCTATAGCAGATCCAACAGGAACATGGGAGGATTCCATGCCAATGGGTAGGGCAGAAGGAAGACGAAGGGCACCTAGAGTTCTTTAATAGAAACCTTGCTTTAAGGAGGGCAGACTGTTATTAGCAGAGGGCACTGTAATTTTCCTTACATCCAGGTGGACATTCGCCCACTCCGCAAAACTGGTGCCCTGCTATTTATAGATTAATTCTTTATCCTCCTCAGAGAGGCCAGATCCTCAAAGGCCGTGGATGCTAAATTCCAATCGAATTATCACTGTGACCAGCAACAAGGGCTACTGTCGAGATAAGTGATAACCACCAGTAGTAGTGCTGTAGTTGCTCACAGTGTACAGTTTACATCAAAGAACACAGGCCACACCACCTTAGATTCTAAGGACACATTCAGGAGCATTGAGAAGTGGGGGGACAACAATGTCTTCAAAAGCATTTTAATGCTTTGCTTAAACTTCTAACCCTCTTTCTCTGTTCTCTAATGTTTCTTCTCCCAAACCATCTATGACTCTAAAGGGCGTATCTGCTAGATCTTGGTTCCTCCTTGGTCCTCCCTGGCATCAGCTCAGTTAACATGTTACAATCTCAATTAAACTTTCACCGGTTTATACGAGGCACCTCAGAAATCATCATATCCAACACTTCAACTTACAGATGAGGATCTTAGACAAGAGTTGGCTCCCAGAAGTGGCATAGTCTTCTAGAAGACAAATTTGCTCCTACCAGCAGTGGGAGAAGCCTCTACTTCCTGAAAAGATAAATGGAGGAGGAGAAGGAGGATCTTGAGGAAGAATCTGGAGGCTGCATACATGGCCAACATATAGCAACTCATAGATTGACTTACAAGTCAAGTAAATTCATGTGAGTGAGTATGCCAAATGAATGAACAGGTCCACATGTACTCTTAGGGTGAACGCAGAGTTGAACAAGGACAAAATTCAAAATTTCTCCTCTACCCACCCCTCTGTGTCTCCTCTACCCTCCCACACCCCCACCACCATTATCATTTTAGACAAACTATCAGAAAAAGTATAAGAAGGGGAGTTGAGATACTGGAGGAGACAAATTGAAAATGTAATTATGTAAACTGAGATGGCTAAGGGGGAACACTCAGGGATGATGTCAGATTAGGGAAATAGAAAGATAGTAGAGTTGTCAGAGGAAATCAAAGATATTTCTAGAAACAAGTCCTGGTGAGCCAAAGGGAAATTGAATGAATATGCTGATGTTTACTTTCCCAGGTTTTCATAGGAAATTGAAGATGGTTTTGTGAAAGGCAAGTGGGGAAAAGGTGAGTCTATAAACCATTATCCACTCAAAGCCTTGATTTAAAACATTTGCTTTCAGACACACTGAGGATTCACTATCTTGTTGGTAAAATTTGAAAAGTGATTTTTTTTCATAATTTGTTTAAAGAAAATACCTTGAGGAATTGGAAACAAGCCAAACAGGAAAAAAAAGATGTTCAGCATAAAAGGCATACTGTTGGTATTTTGGGGGCTGGAAGCAGGGACTTCCCTACCCAAGAGTTCATCTTCCCCACCTCCACCCTCTTCAGCCTGAGATGGATGGCAGGGGACTTAG